TTGGGGGTATATGATACTATAGTTATCATAAGGAACCCCCCAAACCCCTATTCTAACTAATGATCCCTAAACCCTAAACCCTAAACCCTAAACCCTAAACCCTAAACCCTAAACCCTAAGGCCCTTACAGTAAGTAGCCTCAAGGTTTCTTCAGAACGCCGAGACCAAGACTTGCAAACCCCCGCAGCCCCTGCAGAAGTGTAATGCAGGGGCCATAGTTTTTTTAAGGTTTAGGGTTTAGGGTTTAGGGTTTAGGGTTTAGGGTTTAGGGTTTAATACTATTTTGGAGGGGTCCTTGTTATAGTTGTAGTATACAATACCCCAAAACCTGGTACTAATTATTATTTTTCCCATTTTCTGTAGTATGATAATATACCCCACCCATGGCCCTGTTCCAATCATTACTCCGGAGTTGCCCTTTATTGAAGCCGTCAACCCCAAGGCAGCCCTCTCAGGCTTGCCAGCGCTTTTCAGGTGAGTTAAGCTTCAACGAAACCTTAAACACCAAACCCGAAGCCCTTCACCTCACGCTGTGCACCTGAAAGCCTGATCTTAGACCTGAAGCCCAATCCTAAGTCCTGAACTTTGAACCCTAACCCCTAAACCGTATACCTAAACCCTAAACCCTAAACCAGTAAGGCCTAATCCTCAAACGAAGAACCCGTTGTCAGGTTTATCATCCTCGAGGAGGGCCCTGCCGGCTTAGACATCCTCGCGAGCAACCTATCCAAGGACCAAGCCTTGTTACGGTTTAGGGTTTAGGGTTTAGGGTTTTGGGTTTAGGGTTTAGGGTCTAGGCTTCCAAAGGGCTTAAAGGGTCTGGGTTTCGGGGTTTAGGTGGGGTTTCGGGTCAGGGATCGGGAAGAATTCTACAAGAAGAACTGTTCCAAAACGCTTCCACAATAGAACTAACTGGTTATGTAATGATGTAATGATAGCACTGGTTCCACAAGTTTCCATAATACACCGGGCTGGAAAAGGGTTCCACAATAGAGCTCCGTAAGTCTCTTAAAGCCGTTCTATAGGCAAAGCGGGGAGGCTCGAGCATTTTTTTTCCTCGCGGTGCCTTTTTCGGAGTTTTGTTTGGGCAAGTTTAGTGCTTGCAGGGCTGGAGGCAGTTTGAGGCTGCAGAGCTGTTGGACGGAAGGTTCATAGCTAAAGGCACTGGTTCGGGTATGATGATCATCATCACTGGCGCTGCTGCAACCAATAGTGTCATTACTTATGTTGCTGCTTGTGTCGGAATATGATCATCCTACGTGTAGTGCGGTCTCAAGCAAGCGCTCACCCCATGCAGTAAAGTGTTGCCATAGACATTGCGACTAACAGACTAACATTATATTGTCATTGCTCTTAAGGGGGTTGCGGCGAGCACTGTGGGATACCGGCTGGGACCAGGACTACTTTCACTAAATAGTGGCGCCGGTTAGATGAACAATAGCCGAGTGAATTAACTCGCAGTAGAATAGCATGCACGAGCAAATCATAGTACCAAATTTCAATGATCAGCACAGCTTCAAGGTTGTGGGGAAGACAAGTTCAAGCCGAAAAACATTGAGACAAGCATAGAGCATGCTATGCTTGTCTCTGCTCTGCTAGCCCGAAGTCCTAAAGCCGAACCTCCCAAACCGTAAACCTCAAATCCTACCCCTAGACTATAAATCCTAAACCCGTAAGAGTCGTGCTCTTTCTCCTTCAAGGACAAGCTCAACTTAGAGAAGCGGCTGAAGTCGTCCAACGAGGCCGGTCTCCATCTGAAGGATTCAGGCTGCCTCAAGCTTTGTCGAACTGGTTATGATTATGACTTCAAAAACCTTGTAAGCCCTATCAATCCTCTAAACCCTTTCAACCCCAAACCCTAAACCTTATACGGGTTTTGAAGGTTTTTGCGTCCTTGTTGAGTTTTGATGGTTTTGGGGGTGTGAGGCTTCGGGCAACTGAGGGGTCTTGTGACTCGTGCACAGCCCAACGGAAGGACTGTGGGGGTGTAGGGTTTGGGGCACAGGGTTTAGGGTTCAGGGTATTTGGGGTGTCGGGTTTAGGGTTTCGGGTTTGGGGCGCAGGGTGTTTAGGCTTTGGTTTTGAAGCTCCGACTCCCCAAATCCCTGTGAAACTTGCTCAACCCTAAACCCTAAACCCACAGTGACAGCACGCCAAACCGTGGACCCTAAGACCCCAAAGCCGAAATCCCCATCCTCAACCTAAAACACCCGTCCTAAACCCTACGCACTGAATCCTGAACGCTGGCTTTAAAGCCTTTGAAGCCCAAAACTCAAAACCCTCAAACCCTTAAGCCCTAAATCCCAAACCCTTGAACCCTCAAGGCCGTATATCCAAAGCTCTTAAGCCTTAAATCCAACATCCCCAAACCATTGCCTGTAGCTCAAAAGACCTACTTTCGTAAGGAGCTATGAGTGAGTATACATATATATATATATATACATACATACATACATACATACATACATACATATACATATATATATATATATATGGTAGCCCCCCCCTGGACCAACCTCCGCCAT